AAAGCCATTTTTTTCTCACTTTCTTTCTCTTTCTTCAAAAATAATTACGCTTCTACGAGCAGAACCTCTTTCTCGCCAAAACGATTCATGATTACGAAAACTATAATGTGGACGGCTCCCGGTTTTTTAACATGTAATATGTAGCTTGTTAAATAGCAATGTTATATAACATGTTACTAAATGTGGACGCTCCTTTACGGTCGGTGATGCGACGGGGTACGCATTCTCTATCGCAGGGTTGAGACGGGATATTTGGCGCTTAAGTGTGTTTTCATTGGTAGTTTAAATCATTTGACTATATATTGACTATTGAAAATCGATCTCGTATGCATGACTCATGAATTAAAGTGCCGGTGGCTGGCCGGTGCCGGTGGAGAACAGTGTAGGTGAGTTAATTAAAGTATGTTTTTGTTTTTATTTGGACATTTGAGGAGAATTATTTAGATTGTTTGTTTTTCTAAATTTAAATTATTTGATGTCTATTAGATATAGTATTTTTAACACGATTACACACAGATAAGGTGGAATTTTAGCAGTTTTAAAATTCAACGCAAACAATACTGTTGAAATTTGAAGGTTAGTCTTTTCTTCGCCGGTAAGATTGATTTTATTTACTTTAAAGTATCGAAGTTGAATTTTAGTATTTTCTTTAAAATGAATCCTATTGATATTGCTATTCTTTCTCTACTTGAAACTCCTTTTCTAAGATTCTCTTGGTTCTAAGATTCTCTTGGTCTAAGATCTTGGTTCTAATCGTAATAGGTTTCGTACCATTTAAAAAAAGGATAATGCGTCTCAGTATAATACTTCATAGGTGAGAAAATTTATTCGTATTTGAACAAAATTACTAACCTCATGTAGCCTCACCTTCCTATACAGGGTGTCCCAGGCTGAGCGTGCATTAGAAGTTTCTAGAGAACTACAACATCTAGATCGGAGATTTTTTGCACATCATTGTTTTACAACAAGATCTATCGATTAAAAATATTTTTAATGTGGCGGCACTTGCGGAAATACCGGAAGTTGACAGAAACTTTCTTATTTTAAATGGGTGCCCCCATTTTTTATTACATATTTAAATTCTCTGTAATATTTTATGAATTTTGATATAAACACTCTATACCTAACATTAACCGTTTTTGAGAAAAAAAAAATAAAATTTTTGGACGAAAAAGAAGTTTCTAGAGAACTACAACGTCTAGATCGGAGATTTTTTGTACATCACTGTTTCAAAACGAGACCTATCGATTATTTTTTTTTCAGTATGGCGGCACTTATACCCCGGGGTACCCCCATTTTTTATTACATACTTAAAATCTCTGTAAAATTCTATGCATATTGATGTTAAACACACTATACCTAACATTAACAGTTTTTGTGAAAATGTGGCTATCTATTTCAAAAATTAAATTGTTCAAATGTCATATAATAATGGCGGTAGCTGTCATGGAATTGAGCAATTAAAAAATTATCATAAATCATTTTTTTTCAAATGGAAACCCACTTTTTTGATTTCACTAATGAAAAGGTTTTTCAGTTCGTTACTTTTTAACTATACATGTTCCTATACCTAAAGTAATTCGTTTTTAGGTTATTTGAGATTTAGTTTGAAACAGTATATTTTTCTTGATTTTATCTAGCTTCCTTTAACGGTCAGACAATTTATTTCCGTCTGACAGAAAACGAATTATTTAAATTTCCTATATTATAAATACTGCCTGCTTAAGAGTTTGAAAAGTATTTATATGAATATATCTCGTATTTTCGCTCTTGTGATATCCGAGGTGATATCTAATAGTTGATATTATTAATAATATTCCGTGTAATCGAAAAAAAAAACAGCGCAAAGTTGGCTCGGAAATGATGCTGCTTTTTGAGCAAAGCGTCACAATATGACATGGCCACTTAGGGTAGAACGAAAAAAAAATGTTTTCCAAAATATTTTCACACAAGTCTCAAAATGTGCCTTTAGATAATTTTTTTTCTCAAAAGCTGAGCACCCTGCCTTTTTATCTTTAGGTTCATCATGGGCCTTAAAAGCTGAGATATTTTGAAAAATATTTGTTTTTTTGCCCGTAATTATATTTGATAATTATTTATCTTTTACCTTTAACACACTGCTTAATATTACTATAAAATATAACCCAATAATGTTATCCAAACTAAATCACTTAAATTATTGCTTTCGCCGGTTCCTCAATATATTTGAAACTTGTCCACCAGCATGATAAACTACCATCCGTGGCACTTGCCTGTGACAAAACTGGAGTTTCAGATCACGCTGCCGCTATAATCGTAAATGCTGTTTTAGAGGATATTGGAGTAGTGTCTAAAAGCAGTTCTACACAGATAGTAGATAGAATGAAGATCAGAAGGGCCAGAATGTCTCAACGTAACGTTTGTACTAGTGTATTAGGTGAAATGTAATTAGTGAAAAAACTAACGAATTGGAAAGCTTTTTCACTAGTGAAATAAAAAAGTGGGTTTCCATTTGAAAAAAAAATTATGATAATTTTTAATCGCTCAGTTGCATGAGAGCTGCGGCCATTATTATACAGGGTATTTTTTTTTTCAAAAAATCCAAAAACACGTCAATTTCGTTTGTGAGGGGGATAACTTTTGGCCCAAAAATGATTGCAAAATCTTCAACCCTCTAAGCGGGGGTGTCATCCCCCAGCTTTTTTCAAATGGGAAGGGGGGTCAAGTGGCGCCGCAATAATAAAAGGGGGGTCAAGTGGCGCCGCAAATAGAAAAAGGCTTTCTATTCTCTATATTTCCCCGCTTCGTTTTTAAAAATCGGTCGAGTCATTTTGAAAATATGAAGGATTGAAATTTGAAAAGTACTTTTTGCAAAAAAACGCATAAATTGAATTAATTAAAAAAAATTTAACTTATTAATGAATCGAATGCTGAAAATGTTGCCCGTCAACCTCCATACAGTAATACAAATTATCTTCAAACCGTTCTCGAACATTCTGAAGAACTTGCGGGATCACTTCGCGACAAACATCAATAATTCGTCTTCGCAGGTCTTCTAATGAGGCGGGAGGAGTGCTATATACTTTATTTTTTATGTCTCCCCATAGAAAAAGTCTACAGGAGTCAAGTCGGGTGACCGGGGAGGCCACTCAATTGCACCCCTTCGTCCTATCCACCGACCGGGAAAGTTATCGTTCAAAATTCCGCACATTTTGAGAGCAATGTGGAGGTGCACCGTCTTGTTGAAATATTAGTTCCGCTTCAACGTATCCAGGATTGTTCTTTGAGAATGTTCCAGGATGATGTCAGTTAGGGCTGGGTCGATGGTATTTTCCAGTAAATACAAGTACATATCATCTGTTAGATTTCCAGGAAGAAAAAAAGGACCGACAATAGAATTTCCAAAAATACCAACCCACACGTTCAATTTCTGAGGGTTTTGTGTGTGCACCTCGTAAAAAACCCTGGGGTTGTCCTTAGCCCAGTACCGACAGTTGTGCCGATTAACTACACCGTTCAAAAAGAAAGTACACTCATCCGAAAAACACACATTAAATAGGAAATTATTATCATTGGCCACTCGTTTACTCATAGTTTCACAAAATTGCAAGCGACGATCAAAATCGTCTTCGTTGAGTTCTTGTACCAACTGAATTTTGTACGGATGGAAGTTGTGTTTTTTTAATATCCTTTGGACACTTGTACGATTCACGCCGGTCTCATTGGCAAATTTTCTTGTACTCAGCGTACTATCCATGGCAACTTGGCCCAATATGAATACCTCCATATCTTCATTTACTACAGAATTTTCCCGCTGCCTCTTTTTATTCATAACAAAACCAGTTTTTTGCTACTAACTCGCGAATAATTTTGCCATAAACCTGTTTGTCAGGATGGCGTTCATTGAATATCTGCGCAACCCGATTGCCACATTCATTATTTTTAAAATTTAGTTCGATTATTCCCACTTTTTCTGCAAGTGAGTACACCATAATTGTTAAAAAGTTTAACGATACTGAGAAGAACTTCAACGCACAAGTCACAGAACAGCTATCTAGCAACTACCCCACCTGATCGTTCAGCCTTGTGGCAAGTGAAAAAATGCGTAAACATCTAGAAATAATAAGAAAAAACAACAAATTGGTTTAAGGAATTTATTCTTACCATTTACTCTGATAAATGTTTAAATAAACTTTTCAAATTTCAATCCTTCATATTTTCTCAATGACCCGACCGATTTTCAAAAACGAAGCGGGAAGGTATAGATAATAGAAAGCCCTTTTCATTGCGGTACCACTTGACCCCCCTTCCCATTTGAAAAAAATTGGGGGATGACACCCCCGCTCAGAGGGTTGAAGATTTTGCAATCATTTTTGGGGCAAAAGTTGTCCCCCTCACAAACAAAATTGACGTGTTTTTGAATTTTCTGAAAAAAAATTACCCTGGCCGTTATGCCTTGCGGAACGTTTTCGATGGGCCACCCTGTATGACATTCGAACAATTTAATTTCTGTAATAGATAGCTACATATCTTCACTTTATAGCACAGTGATTGTGGTAATCACTAAATTTGACGTTTAAATTGTACACATATTTTTGACAGAATTTTTTTTCGTCCAAAAATTTTAATTTTTTTTTCTCAAAAACGGTTAATGTTAGGTATAGAGTGTTTATATCAAAATTCATAAAATATTACAGAGAATTTAAATATGTAATAAAAAATGGGGGCACCCATTTAAAATAAGAAAGTTGCTGTCAACTTCCGGTATTTCCGCAAGTGCCGCCACATTAAAAATATTTTTAATCGATAGATCTTGTTGTAAAACAATGATGTGCAAAAAATCTCCGATCTAGATGTTGTAGTTCTCTAGAAATTTCTAATGCACGCTCAGCCTGGGACACCCTGTATGCTCACGAGCCGCCACTGGCGAGACCGCGTATTTATGACAACAATAAATCATTACTAATACTAATGTTATCAAATACGTTCAAAATCTAATCGATTTTTTAAGACGGCTTCCTTGCGAATTCAACGACATTACAGTACAATTGAAATGTAAACGCGATTCACTCTACATTTGTTGTTCGATCCGTCTACAGTTTTGCGCTATCTCTACTCGTGTAACAGACGGGTTAGTCGGCACGTCTGAGATTTGCAAATAATCGGAAAGAGAATGACAGAAGAAACCGGTCAAGAAGTGAAGTTATTCACGCTAGCCGAAGTTAAAATTCACAATGGAAAAGATGACCCGGCCACCTGGATTATCTATAAGGATATTGTTTATGATGTGACATCGTATTTAGACGACGTAAGTTTTCTTTTGCTTTAAAATTAACCTTCTGTTACTCGCGCTTTGTTTTTCTACGTAAGTAATCGTCTGGGGGTATTTTAATACCCCAATTCATTTTTAATGAGAAAATTTTTAAAATCCAATAAAATAAAAAGAAATAAAAAAATACGACATCAAATTTTTTAAAAAATTGGATGTCGTATGTCGTTTGGGTAATTACGTAAAAGATATCCATTTATTTAAATTATAACAATTATTGTTAACGATTCTTCAAAAAAATTCATCTCTTTATTTCGCCACTTGCAATGCAGGAAAATCTACAAAATAAAATACTTATTTTTTTGTAAACACCGCTGCTGCCTTAATCCAACGTAGACCAATTTATCAGCAGTATCCCAACAAGCAAAATTTATTGCTGGAACATTGCCAAAACTTCGCAAAGCAAGGTGTAACATTGCTTTTTTCGTTGTAGGGAGGTTTATGCAAGGTTTCAGGGTAGCTTAATCTTCCGCCAAATAACATTGCAGTGCAAGGTTGCATTTCACAATATTATTGAAACGTTGCTAATGTAACTTTCAAGAAAGTACTAATTTGGGATGTATTAGCAATATTGTTAATTTTACGTCAATACAATATTGGTAAAACTTACTGATCTTTTCGGCTGCTCATTAAATAAGGAATTACTCAACTCTGACCTCCGAGTCGAATTTCTAAAAAAAATCTTAAAATTGAATGTCTGAAATAATACAAAATATATAGGTACAGTATAAACATTATTTTATATTTCTTATTCAAAAATACAAAAGGAAAGTATAACAATAAATGTATGTAGAAGGAAAAGCAAACTTATATATTTTAATTTTTTGGATCTTTAATATTTTGTCTTCGCATGAATTGTCTTATTCATGGTTTCAAATTCCTCTTCGGTAAAGTTTTGAAATCTATTCTAAAGTAGTAAAAATAAAAACAATCAGTTGTAATAAACAAAGCAATGAGAAACTTACCTCTTGTAACAGTAGTCTTTGAGGCCCCTTTATGTCCTTATTTTAAAAATTTGAAATGATTATAACATCATTAAAAAAATATTATTGAGAATAATTAATACTGAATATTATTTGTGATTTTATCATTAGATTGATATATTCGTATCCTGATTTTATCTACTTCAATTTTCAGTTGGCTAAATGCTAACCTAAAACATAAAATTTAGCTTAAAAACAAACTAAACTAAACAAAATTTGTTTATTGGCTAAGTATTATTAAAATACACATAATAATAAAATTATACTTACATTTACATTCATTAAAATCTCATTTGAAAAGCATAAAATGTGATACCAAAAACGTAAAAAAACAAATGCGTTAACCTAACCTAACTTCTTATACCGTATGATCGAAAAAAAAAGACGTCAGCGATGGCTATGAAAAGAAAATCGCTGTCATTTTATATGGGGAATGTCATCGATATTCTTTTTCAAGTCAACTATACGCCGTTTTTTTCGATCCTATGGTATATTTGTTATATTATTAATTAATATTAACTTGCGCGGATCTTTCATTTTAATCTTTGTTGCAATGTTGCAGAAAAAACGTTTTAATCACCATTCAAAAACAATGTTTCTGTATCAAGGTTTCATCAATCACGACACAACGTTTAGAAATCAACATTATAAAGCAAACTGTTTGGGGATTGACTGCAATGTTGCAAATGTAATGTGAGGTTTTTTGCTTGGTGGGTATGTTACTAATAAAACAAATTTGCCTGACGGACAAAAAATGGGTAACGTTAACTATGTCTTACCGTGCCCCCTTTTTTGAGTTATAACTCATCATACATGGGGACCTTCCTGTTGTAGGGAGACAGGGTATTTCCTCGACAATAACTGTTCATCCTCCGAGAAGTGGACATCTTACGAGGGTATACACTAGCTAGGGTGATCCAAAAAAACTCCATAAATCCATAAATATTATTGAAAATGAGGAAAAATTGGAAAATTGATATATGTTTATTACTGAAAATTATCGCAATAATATATCGAAAGTTATCAAAGCAGGTGATTGCTTATCTGAATTTTTTTTTAATATGCATCGTCACGGTCTATAACAAATTTGATTTCAAAAAACACCTATAACTTAACAAATCTAAAGCAACTACAATATACAGGGTACAAATGAATAGGTGCAAAAAAAATCAATTATTATATGTTTGTCACAAAATTTTAACGGTTTGTTATATGGCATGGGTGTCTGTTATGGATTATATCGATATTCCAAAACTAAAAAAAAAATAAAGCAGTTATTTTTAATTTTTTTCTAGTTTTTGTCCGATGGGGACCGAATTTTTTAATTCTGATTATCATGGCTAGTTATGATCCGTTAATTACTAATTTTCCTATAGAACACAGCATTTTAAAATAACGTTGAATTTTGTTTCCATTAAAAGTAGCATAACTTTGAAAAGGTTTACGAACAAAAAATTTTACTTCGCGGATTCTTGTAGAGCATAAAATTTCCTAAAAATCTATCTCAGAGTAATCTAGTTTATTTTTACTAAATATAAAAAATTTTAATCAATAAAGACTAAAACTGATTGATTTTTGGTTGAAAATTGATTTTTTTCACTTTTCAAAGCTTTCACATATACGAATTATTGAATTGAAAAAAATACTCTCATATAGATGTTTTAGTAAATTTTATGGTATACAAGAATCCGCGATGTAAATTTTTTTATCGTAAACCATTTCAAAGTAATGGTACTTTTAATGGAAAAAGATTTTTTTACGTGTTATTTAAAGGGAAAACTTGGAATGTTCAAGGACACCTTTTAAAAGTGAGCTAAAAACCATGCTTTCCGGGGATATTTTTTTCTCGGTGATTAGATTCATTTTAACCCATAAATTACATAAGTTAGTTTTTTTGGCTCACCCTAGTATACACTCTTCCAAGGTTGGGGTTTGGCCATCCGTGCCCTTCATATTCGAGGAGCTTATCTCCGGTTGAGCTTCTCTTGAAATGGAGGCTGGAGGATATGTCTCCATTTTATCCACCACTTTAACTGGGTGTCTCTTTAGCCCTGATACCGGTGTTCTCTTAGATCTATACTAGAACATATATCTCTATTGTTTAAGAGGTTAATTCCTATTGTGAGGACCTGGGTATGACTTTCCTCCCTCGAGTTTATGACTCGCCACACAAAACACATACACAAGAAGAAGTGCGAGCGCCTTGCTAAATATTGGAAAGTGAAATTGACGTTTAAATTTGACACTGCTGACAAGTCTACTGCTACTAGCGCCCCCAATTTCGCTTGTAGGAACTACGGACTAGATTGTCACGCATGGCGGGAAGTTTAAAAAAATAAAAAATTTTAATTCTTCATTTATTTTTAATTATGACATACATAAAAACACAAGAAATACACCATTTTTTAAAAATATGTTTAATATCAATATCAAATATACAACAGAAATTAATTTCACAACAATAAATTAATAAAATTAAAAGAATAATGTTACAAGTAGATCAAGAGACAAAATTAATTATAACAAAACTGAAAAAAATGGCGTCATAGATGGCTTAGAAATGAAGATATATATCATAATTTTGAAAGTAAAATTATATGGGAAATGTCATCGATCATCATTTTTAAGTCAACTGGACGATTATTTCAAACATACAAGCTGAGTTCGTTCATAGTGCTCTGCGAAATCTAGATAAACAAAGAATAATAAATTAAAAGTATTCCAGGGGAAACGAGAGGAAAAACCTGTATCGTCTCTGATATCTGTCAGGGTATTGTTGAAAGTGTCATCTTTTTGCTCGAAGTTTTCAGGTCGATCAAAAAGATGACATTTACAACAATACTTTGCCGTAACTTTCACAAATATCAGAGAGAGTACAGGTATTGCCTCTCTTTTCCTCTGGGATAGTTTATATCTGTTGTTCTTTGTTTATCTATATTTCTCAGAGTGCCGAACACGACTACACTATATAATTTCAATATCCTAGAGAGTACAGGTATTGCCTCTCTTTTCCTCTGGGATACTTTATATCTGTTGTTCTTTGTTTATCTATATTTCTCGAGTGCCGACAGTATATAATTTCAATATCCTAAGTGGAAAGAAAAAAGGTCACCTTTCTGTTTTGTACTATGGTCCCTTTCTTCCGATGGCTCATCTCGTTGATATTTAGGAAGGTATCCATAAAATATATATTTTACTATCGGTCCTGGGATGAAAAAATATAAAATTCAATTTGATTTGATGATCCTTTTCTGTCACCTAAATCAGGAGAATAACAATGAGCATGTTAATATGAAAAAAAAATTTATCAACACTTACCTACACGTTAGTCCGAGAAGTTTTATCAACAACCTATATTTGCCTAAATAATTTATGTATTAAATTTGCAAAGCAAACTGCAGCTTGTAAACAAAAGAAATAAAATGGCGACAAGTCAACGTCAACGACCCGACAAGGAGAAAAGTGGTGTTCGAATAACAAATTATGGGTCACCAAAAATTGTTTTTGTCTCCTTTCAACGCACACTTTAGAAAGAAAAAGAGATGAACTGTAATACTGAAAGAACGTCAAGGTTTTATCTGTCACTCTTGTCAATAATTTATCGGTAAGGAAGATTCCTAGAAAATCGCTTGTAGTCAAGTTTTCAACCATTGCCAGTTCTCCCATAAGAAGTGTCATCCACCTGACTCGCCACCTCGATGTCCTTACATTGGAGTTCTGGCAAAGCTGGCGATACACCGCAGGGCGCAGGGGATAGTATGTCCACTTCTACAGAGTCCTGTATGTAGAAGTAAGGGTGACGAGAATACAATGGGTTGCTCCCTGGTGCCACAAGATTGGGACCAGTAAAGGTTAGCCTTCTATCTAGCCACGCATTCCTTTAACTTGGTCTCACCATCGTAGGATTTAGGTTTTTGGTGAGGTTGTCTCCTTGGTCCGGGCGATTAAGCCAAGATACATGATCACAGACAGAGTAGAGTGTGCGTGGTATGACTG